CCTGAAATAGAGAATGACATTTCTGCTTAACCCATGAGATAAAGAAGAAGTAGAAGGAGAGAGAGAGAGAGAGAGAAGGAGAGAGAGAAGGATAGAGAGGCTGAACTTATAGTGTTGGTGGAGCAAAAAAGGATAATGCTTTTATTCCAGGTATCCAGTGTAGAAGGTAACCAGGATGAGGTTATTTTGAAAGAATCCTCTTATAGGAACTGTGTGACAGGAAAGAGAGTTCATTGATTACTTCAACTTTGGCACTACTGATGATATCTATATCTGTATCTATATCTATATCATCTATATCTATACTTATATTGTATCTATACCTCTATCTATGTATCTATCTATTTTGCTCTGGGACTTCTTGTGCACTGTAGGATCTCTGGCCTCTACTCCTTGAACATTAGAGGAACCCTATCCCCACACCGAGTGGAATTTCTCCAGACATTATGAAGTGCTTCTGGGGTAGGGGCAAACCTTACACATGGTTGAGAAACTGCTTTTGAGGAAGCTGCATTACTAAGAATCCTGCTATAGAGGTCTAGACAATGTCCCTTGAGACACAGTCAGTGTATGAATTTCTACAGCTGCTCTAATGGAATACCTCATATTTAACAATTTGTAAAGTAATGCAGATTAATTGCCTTACAGTTTTAGAGGTCAGGGTGTTGGCATGGATGTGTTTCTTCTGGGAGTTCTTCAGAGAATCCCTTTTTTTGTCCTTTCCACCACTTTTAGGCTGCCCTCATCTCTTGATTCAATTCCCAGACTGGCAGTGACATCATTGTGACTTTTGATTACATTGTCACATCTCCTTCTCTGGTTTTAATCTATCTTACTTTTATAAAAGTCATTGGATTAGATTGGGCCCACCTGGATGATCTAGGCCCCTTCTGGCTCCAGACTTTATTATATCTGCAGAATCCCTCTCATCATGCCAGGTAATAGTTGCAAGGGTCATATAATACAAGCTGGGCATCTTTGGTGGCACATTATTCTACTTACCATAGTCAGTATCTGAGCACATGTAAGCCAGTATCTGAGCAATGTAAGCACATTGAATAGCCACATTGTGACTGCAGCAGTTAAGTCATTCTCCATGGTCTTACTTCTCTTTGTGCCCTGATTCCTTCTGGGAACTGGCAGCAATGGAAAATAGACCACATTGGACACTCATTGCTGGAACCAGACTGGAGGTCTGTGACTGACATCGAACTGGAGAGAACATTTATTTTTTTCTCATTTTTTTACTTGAGAGCATTTAAATTAGATGAGAGATAATGGTTTTTATTAAAACAAGACTAAAAATTTAAAAAAAATATTTCTCTTTTAATTTCTCATCTATTCAGAGGTATAGTTCTACCTGGAAGGTTGGTCATGGCTAAAGAAAGGAGCTTTTAAGTAAAATTGAAGATAGTGATGGAGAGAAAATTACATTCAGGGTGTCTCCTAGAATCTAGATCATTGACTGAACCTAGATCCAGATGATTTGAGAGCACAGGGATTTCAAAATTCTGTTAATTTTCTGAGAGAAGAAGGAGGTGGCTAGGGGAAGAGGGTCCTGGGAAGCCCATGATTTCCCCTATTTTCCCAAGAATATTGGACATTTTTCTGTTATCTGGACATTTGAGGAAAGAGAGACGAGTGGAAGAAACATAGGAAGACCTGGATCGATCACTACTGACATGCTAAGAAAGGAAAAACAAGTAGACAATATTTTAAATCTGTGCTGGCAGGAAATGCTGGGGCATACGGCCACCGAGGGAGAGATTACAGCTTGAATCTCTACAGCTCAGAATCAAACTCTAAGTGCTTTCTAGTGTGTGAAGCGTGGATTACCTAAACTCTGAAGCTATAACAAAAAACTTCTGTGGGTTTCTTGAGGACATCAAGTAGATATCTAGACCCTATAGCAGGTTTCTCTTCCTATAGCAGGACAAATCTGCTTGCATTCTCTTGGGACCTGGACACTCACTATGGCAGGTTACTCACCAAGGCTAAAAATTGTATGGTAATCATTACACTAAAATGAGCATTACTTATGGTTTTAATTATATGTGATATGTTTTCTATGATTATAAAGGCCACTTTAAGAATTTAAGGACAACATATTTGCAGAAAGGGAGACACAGTGATTTGAAGGTCTTTTGCAGGGAGGGAGCAGAGTTTATAGAGCACACAACTGGTAGCCCATTCTGGGCAGGAAGTAAGACAGTGATGTGTCTGCTTTAACAGAGTGGAGCATTCAAGGTATAAAGTATAGAAGGTAAGGAAGACAATGCAGTAAAACAAATGGGTGTTTTATGCCTTCCATATCAGAACAGAGTCCAGGGTAAATGCATAGCAGGAGATTCAGTCCTTGTTAGGCATCAGGCTCGGGATATAGCTCAGTGGCACAGTGCCTGGCTGGCAAGTGCAAGGTTGTGAGTTTGATTCCCAGTACCAAAAACAAAAGCAAAAAGCAGACATTACTTTTGTGGTTACTTCTGTGGGTGCAAGTCATCTTCATTTCCAAAACTGCATATAAGATTGTCTGGCACAGGAAAGAAGCAAAGTAGAAATCCGTTTCATTGAGGTGGGTGGGCAGAAGTATGCAAGTGTAATCTTACTCAAGGACATTTTTTGGGAACAGGTGTCCATACTTTTAAATTGTGTAAAGTCTCACTTTCTAAATCAAGGAGATGTCCCTAGTATATTCCTAAATACTATGTTAAGAGAAGGAAAGAAGGAAGGAGGGAGGGAAGAAGAGAAACGAAGAGAAGGAATAAAGAAAGGATAGGAGGAAATAGTATAAATGAAGACTCAACTTCATGTCTGTGAGCTTGAGTGCATTATTGCATGGGTTGACTTCACGCATGGCAGCTACAATTGCAGGGGAAGTTAGACTCGTGAAAGCATTGTAAAGCTCTGGGCTGTGACAGAGGGGAAGCTACTTCCCCTGATTTCTGGATATCTCTGAGATTTGTGGTGAGGAGAACTTAACTGTTATTCTGCAAGTGAGAGCAAGAAAAGTCACCATGAAGATCTCGTAAAGACCAGCTCACAACCCATGCAATGCAGAGTTCCCCTTTCCCAAGAGCTCCCACATAGTCTTTCCTTTGGTAAGCCCCCAGAAGCCCCATACCTGCTTGATTTTCTGCCTGCCGTAAGACCACTTAATCTGCCTCTCTCTGGGGGATGTCCTCTATCATCTGTCCATCTGTCAAATACAATGGGACTTGTGGTCCATAGTTATATTTTTGAAGGAGTGATGTGGTTTTCCATGTTTTGATCTTTAGGAGGGGTTTCTGTTCTTTGTAAATAATACTGTGACTTGCAAATGACTCCAATGTAAGGTGGTTGGAATGTAGATGGATACATTAAATATTAAATACAAAGAGCCTAGGTGTAGAGAAGGTGTTGATCAATATTTATGGAATGTAAAAGTGCTTGAAACTTATTCTTAACTATTTGCCTTTCTTTTCTGAAAGAGATCTGAAAGTTGTTAGAATGAAAATGGTTACTTGTTTTGACCTTAACCAGAAAAATATAATATAATATAATAACCTCACACCAGGAGGTTATTATATCTATTTTTAAGAGCGAATTTATTTATTGAGAGAAAGATAGCTTCTGTCTAGGAGAGAGACAGAAGATATCCTGAATGGGTTGCCAAAGACTCTGTCTTTTCTAGGGACTTCTGTAGAGCAAAACCAGGAAGTGAGATGGGTCTAAGATAGGGAAACTTGGAAACTGGCAAGGTAGGCAGACATGAGGTGCGATAGAACTATGGTCAACCAATACAATTAATTGTTCAGGTAAAATTGACTACATCAGGAAAAAATAGGGAAGCAAGTCATGCAGGAAATGCTTAAAGAGTAGAGACTCTGTAGGAGATGGGATGGTGATTCCTGAATTCCTTAAGGTGATCCAGACCTATTTAGAATATCAATCCCTGATGTTTATTATTAGTGTATGGGTGCATTTGTTTTGCTTTTTGTCTTGAGATCTGGCTGGAAGCAGAGGTGTCTGTCTCCTCCAATGTTGCAAGGTATATGGTCTTCTGCACTGGCTCCTTTGAGGGCCCAGCCTTGTCTGACTGCCTGTAATATTTCTTACTAACTCAGCTGCCTATAGCATTCCCACCTCTGAAGAAGTAACCAGGAGGTTATTAAGAAAGGGTTCTTATACACAACTGCTTGATAACAACTATCACAAGAGACTCCCAGATTGCGACTTTATGCAAAGCCTACAGCAGCCCTACACACAAAAAAGGACTTCTACAAGGACATCTCTTTATCTACTATTTTATTCAACTGTGGACCGGCACTTCTCTATTTTATTAATTTCTGTGGCTGAGGATTACTGTTCTAAAATATCTTAGGTACCACTCTTCATTTTTGCCTTTAAAATTTTCCCTTTTCTTCATCCTCTGAAAATAAAATGGTGTCTGTATTCCCATTGTTGTGCCCTCTCTAGTAGTCGCAACATAATTATTTTTTAGCAACTCACTGATTTGAGGTTTTTTCAGTTTAGGTCAACACTCAGTCTCAACATGATGTTCATTTATTCTCTATCAAGTTCCCAACTCTATAATGATAAAGATGCCTGTTTACTTTAATAACAAATATAAACCATTAAGTTTCTGAAAAGGGGGAGGCATATGGTACATGATCACTAAAGGAAGCAATGACACCCACTCCATTGGACTTGGAGGTAGGTGGAGAATCTAAGTGGGAAAGTTGGGCAGCTGATTGGGAGAGAAATGAAAGGATAAAGAAAGCATGTGGCTTCTTCCCCCTCTCCTTCTCTATATAGCTTGAGGAAGAGAAAGAGTTCTTAATTCAACAGAAAATAGGAACTTTAGGAGAGAGAGAAATGTGCCACAGTATTTCCCTTTGATTGAACTAAAGGATCTGTTGTTGATAAATTTAGAAATCAGCATATGCTTACACCCATCTGATCACACTGCCCACCCTTCCTGTGACAGTGACATGTGCCTCTTTTTTAATTTTTCCTTCCAGATCCACCTTCCCTCAAGTTCTTAATCTGCACCTGGCTTCTGGTTTGAATGAGTGCTTGATTTATTTGCAGCCACTAGGAATCTGGAGTGCAGATGCAAATGGAAGTTTTGCTGTAAGTGTTGGTGGCAATTTGATCATTCTTTGATTTGCATTCCTGAGGCTGCAGATTCTCAGAAACCCACATCTTACCAGTAGTTAAAGGAGAGTTATTTTCTATCTCAGTTATAAAAGCCAACCTATAATGGTTCCTAGAATCAGAAATTTTCATTTGCAAGGCAGAGGATAGATATGGTCTTTAGTTGAGCAAATTCCTGGGTACAAATGAAAAGCACAGTAGACGGGACTATTTAGGGGTAGAGAAAGCCTAGCAATTTGGAGTCAGTATGGGATAAACAGAGTGCGAGCCATTTGCCTGTGGGGAGTGAGCATGGAGGGGAGTCCCAGAGAGTCTGCAGAGGAAGAGACCAGTGCACCTTCCTTGGCCCTGGAGGTATTCTACAGTTCTCTGTGTTCCTAATTCTAACATCAGCAACAAGGAGTCTTCTCATCCAGTCTCATCCTTCTGGGCCTCTAGTCCTTGTCTGAAGATGATTTTACTTCAAGTTCTAGTCCAAGGTTTGGAACTGGTCTATGGGCAGGTGCATGTATTAGCAACACATGTGGAAATCTTAAAAGCATTCACAAATAAAGCAGTGATTCAGTTTTTAATGTGCTAAAAAACCAAAATGTGCTAAAACCAAATGTGCTAATAGAGCAAGATACACTTGAAAAGTAGTGAACTTCCATGTGGGGTTCTTCCCAGCTCACCTGATGCCTGAAAACATAATTCTGAGTGAACTGGCTTATTGCAGCTCATAGTCATCCCACTCAAATGTTGCTTTGCACCTGATTGTTAAAGCACAGAGATAGAGGTGACTTGGGAGGGTCCTTAGGCAGAGTCACTGCCTGCAGCCCTTTTATTGTGACACCTACCTGCAGTGTGTCATCTTCTCTTTTTCTTGCACTGCCATTTCCAGTGCTAGCAGCTCTGTCCCTGTGCCCAAACATGTAGTTTTGACAGCAGCTTCACTCACTGGAATCCATCTTGTGGTCACAGGAGGATCTCTATGGTCATGCAGGTGCAGTCATTCCCAGAGGGCCTGCCACCAAGTTTTCTCACCCACTTGCTGGGCAAACTAGAACTGGAAAATGCTCATTTAATATTTACTGTGTTTTCTCTTAGAAAAAAACCAATTCACATAGCTGTTCAGCTTATGCTCCAATAAAACTCTTTCTTTTTAAATTATTCTGTCACTTAATGTTTTGATGAGACCTCTCCTTTTTTTTAGCTGGCATTCAATTCCTACCAATTTAAACTTTCTGAACATTTTCATTAAAACTAAGTTTTGCCAGTATGAAGAGGAAATTGGGAGCTTTCCCTGTGTAACCAATGTGAAGGCTTGATAAAATTTCCTAGAGTTAATGTAATTGAATTAGCCAATTTCTTAACAGTTGGGTGAGAAAAATGTACTATATAATCAATGGAGTTAAATGCTCCAGTTCAAAAGTTTTCTGAAGAAATATTGGGGAATTTTATGACCGTAAATTAAGATTTCAGCAATATAAGATTTGTTTGTGATGAAATGTTTTGACCACCAAAGGTTAAACTTCTGAAATAGATCAAAAGGGATTTGTGTAATGAAAATATACATAGAGGTTTCTAAATATACATTTGTTCATAATGTATTTTCCTGCTCTTTCATCTGAGACTTCATTGCAGATAACACTGCTAGGACTTAGGGCTCCCAGCTTTGGACAGATTTGGACAGCAGTGGTGAGGCACCAGGCAAAACCAGAAGCCTCACTGAAATTCTGCCGGTTATCTAGTGATTCTGTAGATCCCTTAAAATTCCTTTTCCACCACTGCACTGAAACCTGGTGGTCCCCATACTGACAGTTCCTTTTAAGAGAAATTGAACACATTTTTGTGGAAAAACTAAGGTTTCTAGTTCAGATATTTGCACATAGGTTAAATCTTTTATTCAAATGTTTTATAATAATTCCAGGTTAATGTCACCCACATACCTAAAAGGTGAACAAGCCCACCAAGATAACTCAGGTATCAAGTATATCTCCCCATCAGCATTCTCATGCATGAGTGAATCCTACTGCACAATAGAACCTTCCTAGCCAACAAGGCTGTTGTAGTTTGGGGTTTGTAAGGAAAATGATTGCATACAGGACACAATACTGAACTATTTTATAATGATCACCCAAGGAGTAAAAAGAAAACGCAGGGAATCTGTCCACACACCAAAGAACTAGAAAATCCAGTGGAGGGCCTGGATCCTGTGGCAATAACCTGCATGAATTCAGTTGAAAACCTGGAGTCCATGACAGTGACCCCCATGAGTCCAACTGGAGGCTTAGAGTCCACGACAATATCTCATGCAAATCTGTTTCATAAATCTGTGCTGGGAAGGACCAAAGATCAGTAGTGGAAGCTAGAAAGTCTGTGCTAGTAGGTTGAAGGATCTGTGCCAGTAGGTTGAAGGTTCTTCACTGGAGTTAAGAAGAGACACTCAAAATAAGGAGCAGGGCTCCCCCAAAAAGTATAGCACCACAATGATCTTCACTGACACTGAAGTCCTGAGCTCCTCTGATGATAACTGCTGAGTTCCCATCAGGAAGCAAGCGTGACAAGCTTTTCCTGGGCATTGAACAGCACACATCTTTCCCTCTGGAGCCAGAAAGTGATGTACAAAGTAAAGATCAGAGCTCCCGCGAAATGAACTGCGGCCACTGTCAGTGACAAGGTCCTGAGCTCCTTCCATGATGAAAATAGCCAAGTTCATATCAAGACAGAAGCTCAGCAAGCTCCTCCAGGAGAACCGATGGCAACAGGAGAACCCACAGCACCAAATAACACTACTCTTGCTCTCCAGGCCTCCTTTCAGTGCTGGCAGCGGTCCTCAGGTGGGCCATCTACACTCAGCACCATGCGGTTTCAGTTCAGTTGGTGTTTCAGTTGACTATCTGTTTTCAATTTACTGCAAAGTCCTTTCATTTTTTCTTTTTTTTTAAAAATTAAGTTTATTGGTACATGTTAGATATACATCATGTTCACATTCATCATAAGAAATGTGTACCTGTACATGATATATCTTGATTCTTTCTTTTTCTGCTCCCCTAACCTCACTTCAACTCTGGTTCTCTTTCATTATTAGTAACCAATCAGAAACAGAATAAAATTCACATTCTGAATGAGAAAGAACAAGACAAACATGAAGCATAAATGATCCCAAAGAAGTAAAGATCAAATAAAAAGACTTAAGTCACTTGTGTTCTCAAAGCAGATAGAGAAGATTTGTAGTCATAAAATAAGAAAATGCTACTGAAAGTAACAATTTAAAAGTAAGAAGCTCTTGGAAACTAAAAATATGATTTAACATTATGTTGGGTTAATATATGATTTCAGTAAGAAAAAAGTGAGGCAAAGTAATTTCTCATCATTCATAACAAAAATTAATGATGAAAAAGTAAAAGATGAGAGCCAAAATCAGGGAGAGTTTAAATCAGAGAGTAGACAGTCTGATGGAAAGGACTTTTAGGTAAACTGAGATCTGAGAAAATAGAGAGAAAGAAATTATTTTTTTAAATAGAGGGAAAAAAATTTCAGTGCTGATGAAAAACAAAACAAAATAAAACCAAAAACCCAGCTCTGGCTTTTTTATCAATAAGCGCTCAGTTGATCCTGTATGATTTTCATTAGCATTCACAGCTAATAGACTAAAAATGCTCATTCTCCCCTTTCCTCATTGCAATAATCCTGATTTTGCTTAAAGTAGAAATATGCACAATGAAAACTTAAAAATAATTTCTTTCAAGGTGTCCACATGACCTAGTTCTGTACAAAATGTTAATATGTCAGTGTGATGTCTTTCGGTGGAAAAGCCATGCTGTGAAAATTAATGACAAAGACTAGGATGTAGCTCAGTGGCACAGCACCTGCCTGGCAAGCGCGAGGCTGAGAGTTTGATTCCTACTGCAAAAGAGAAAAAAAAAAGAAAAAGGAAAAAAGGAAAGAAAATGAGGGAGGGAAGGAGAGAGAGAGAGAGAGAGAGAGAGAGAGAGAGAGAGAGAGAGAGAGAGAGAAAGAAAGAGACAGAGAGAGACAGACACACACACACACACACACACACACACAAGGGCAGGAGTTAGGAAGGAAGATAGAAAAATCTTAGGTCCTTAATGATTCCCTGGAGCATTTTGTCTAGCCTGTGGTCTGAAGAATGCATTAAAATATTAGTGAAATGTGAGGTCCAGGAGATAAGATCTAGGCATGCAGTGAAGGAATTCCCAGTGATGACTAACATGAGTCAGACCTAGGACCTAGTTGTTAAGATTGAGATAAGAGGATGAAGGACCTTGAGAAAGTTGCTTGTGGGAGGACAAAAATTAATTGCATTCAATTGGTAGGACCATAATTAGAAAGCTGAGCTATGCTGAGGATGGGAACAAACATACCTTACTTTTTTGGGGATATCCAGGATCAAACTTACAACCTCACACTTGCCAGGCAAGTGCTTATGCCACTGAGCTAAATCCCCAGCCATACCTTACTTTTTTTTTTTTTGTCTTTTTCCTTTTTATCGGTACCAGAGATCGAACTCACGACTGCCTGCTTGCAAGGCAGGTGCTTATGCCGCTGAGCTAAATCCCCCAGCCCCCATACCTTACTTTTAAATAATTTGTCTAAACAGTATAAAGGAAGACAGCTGACTAGAATTATCACAGACTCACTGTAGACTTCTGAATGCCATTGAGTAAATGATGGAATACAAGAAAGTAAAATATATTTGATTTCTAAAATTAAATTATTATTGACATAAGAAAGTTTTACATATTTAAATATGTTCTAAATGCACTTGAAGATAAGTGTATAGCCATGAAACTATCCCTCTAAATAATGCCATAAACATAACCATCCCTTCTAAGAGTTTCTTTTTCATTTTTTTGTGATGAGAACATTTAACATACCATCTATTTCTTTAAAAAATTTGTAAGACAACAATGCAGTATTATTACCTAAGTGTACTATGCTATATAGATTGCTAGGTTTATTCAGGTCCT